TATATATATATATATATATATAAATTAATAATTTATTATTCAATTAAATTAAATTATTAAAAAATAAATATTTATATATTTTTAATATTTGTGTCTCCTAAAGGTGAAGTGCATAGTTTATTTTTATATTTGAATATAAGAAGAAATGACATTGTATAAACACACATCTCTTAACCGGAACGAATAATTACTTTTTAACGATGTTATATTAATTAAATTAAAATGTATATTTTAATAAAATAAAAAGTAGTGTAATATTTATAAAAAAAATTATATAAACCAAAAAAGTTAATAAATAAATTAAAGAGAATAGTAATTTTATAAAATAAATTTTATTATTGGTCCTTTCTTGTTAGAAAAGATGCAACACAATACACACTTTATAAATAATATTATGAAGAGTATTAATGAAAGAGAGATAATTAATATTATATTAAAAAGTTAATATAATACTTATTTTGAGACTTACTTTTTCATTATTTTTGACACTTATTATGAAGACTGATAAAATATTATATTTTGTTTTTATCATTTTTAAATAAAAATTCTTAAATAATAATATAAAATATCTAACTGTGCCAACAAGATAATATATTAAAATGCATTGATATTTTTCTGTTGAATAAATTTTAGGTAATCCAGTTGGATCTAAGAAATCATTATTTAAGATTGACCTTAAACACAAAGAATGCTTATAAGGTTACACAGAGATTATCCACCAACAGAAGTATTCAATTTTTTTTAAGACAAGCAAAGTATTTAAATAAACAAGACTCTACTCCTTATCAAATTATTAAATAAACCAACTTTAATTAGCTAAATACATTAATTAGTAATATGCATATGAAATGTATAATGTTAAATATGAATTTAATTTTAGTCACTGGAAATATAAATATTTTTATATCAGTAATTAATTAAAAAATTACTATGAATAAATTTTAAAATAATTATTATAAAAATTAATAATTTTTTTTATATATAACATTCTATAATAACATGACGGTTAAAAACTATTTACATTATTAGCGTATCTAAATTAAATATATATATTTTTTTCGTGTAACCAAAAAAATTAAATCTTTATTTTTTAAAAGAATAAATAAATAAAATTTAAACCTTAAATTAAATTTAAACGTTTTATAAAAATTAAAAACATTTTATCCTTCTTTCACACAATATACCTTCCAATCAAGGGTCAACATATCTCATCTGACATTAATCTCCATCCGTACGCTTAAAGAGATTCACTTGCCTAACATTTGTGTCTAGTTTGGTTGGTTGATTGAATAATAAATTAATAATTAATTGCTCTAAATTTACGTGAAAGTAATTTTAGTATATTTAATACATTATTTGTTTATTTTTTGAAATTTTAAATAGATCTATAAACTAAAAAATTCTAACTAAATCTTTTATCTTTTAATATTTTTTTAATTCAATCCTTTTAGTTAGAAATTTATTTAAGATTATATGAAATTAACATAATATAAAAATGTTTATTAAAGTTTCCTAGATTATACAATCTTTTTAATTGAGGACCTAATTGTTAAATTTTAAAAATTTTAAAATCAAATAATATATTAATTTTATTATATATAATAATAAATCATTAGTTTAAATGGTATTAGATTTAATTTTTTTTAAATAATTTTATATTCAAATGTATAAAAAAATATGATTAAAATATAAAATTTTATTAAAAGTAATTAATTAAATTTCTTTATGAAATTAACTATCAATAAAATCGATAGATATTTTGTATAAGTAAAATGATTACTTAAATTTATATATATACACACATTATAGATATTATTATTAAGGGCTTAAATCTATTTTTAGTCCCTCAAATTTAAAATTGTTGTTTTTAGTCCCTGTAATTTTAAAAAATCTTAATTTAGTTCTTATATTCAAGTTATGTTAAGAAATTTATCAAATATTATTGCATAAAATCTATCTATTGATGTTTTTATTAGTGAAAATATCACATTAAATTCGGTTGATATTTCATAACTGTCTTAATTAGTCACTTTTAAATATGTTATTCGTGACTTAAGGGACTAAAACAAAATTTTTAAAAATTATAGGGACTAAAAATAACAGTTTTAAATTTGAGGGACAAAAAATAAATTTATCTTAAATTTGAGGGAGTAAAAACATGAGAAAAAGCAAAACGCTTGAGTGTTTGACCGTGATGTTGGGCTTCTGGAAGTCTTGGATAATAGAAGTTAACGGCGTCATTTGAGAGGGACACCTGACACATTTTCACAACACAGTCAGTGGCTCGTGCGTGTTTAGCACTTCGCGG